GTATCTTATTGTGCGTTAAATAAATGGAGCATATGAAATGTATGCAATACGAAACTGTTTCTTAATATACTAACCCTAGAAGGATCGGGGTTTTTAATTCGCTTTGCCTGCTAACAAATAAGAGAGTTGATAATCTGCTAAATGAATATATGCGGTAATATTTTGCTTAATTTCATGTAAGTGTTTGATTTCTCAAATATCAGATGTATATAAAGTAGAGCTCACATAAGTTTTAAACACACAGTGCTGTTCCTGAATTCATTCGTTTGGTTTTACAGTTCTTAAACAAAGCACTTGGCTACTTCAAAGTGTAAGAAAATCATGTTAAAGATAATCAAATGGTTACAAAATCGAAAATGCATTAAAATATGAAGCTAATATTCCCTTGCAAAGTATACAGGACGTGGTTTTAATGTACTTTCTTAAAATCGAAACGAATAAAACAGATTTCCTTCCACTGATCCGGTTTACTCACGCAAGAAATCGCTTATCCGTGGTGTATGTTACGTGGTTGTTTCCGGAACTTGTATTCTAATTTGGTTTCATAAATACACGAAAATATAACAAATAACGTTCTTTCAAACCACTAGCTAACTACCTGTCCATCTATCTGTCTATCCGTCAATAAACAAAGCCACATATACATAATGTAATCTCTGACATCTGTACATCAATCAGACGATATTCAAGCAAGTAATATAATCAAGGCAGTTTCTAATATTCAAGCAAGTAATATAATCAAGGCAGTTTCTAATATTCAAGCAAGTAATATAATCAAGGCAGTTTCTAATATTCAAGCAAGTAATATAATCAAGGCAGTTTTTAACATTCAAGCAAGTAATATAATCAAAGCAGTTTCTAATATTCAAGCAAGTAATATAATCAAGGCAGTTTCTAATATTCAAGCAAGTAATATAATCAAGGTAGTTTCTAATATTCAAGCAAGTAATATAATCAAGGCAGTTTTTAATATTCAAGCAAGTAATATAATCAAGGCAGTTTCTAATATTCAAGCAAGTAATATAATCAAGGCAGTTTCTAATATTCAAGTAAGTAATATAATCAAAGCAGTTTCTAATATGCAAGCAAGTAATATAATCAAGGCAGTTTCTAATATTCAAGCAAGTAATACAATCAAGGCAGTTTCTAATATTCAAGCAAGTAATATAATCAAGGCAGTTTCTAATATTCAAGCAAGTAATACAATCAAGGCAGTTTCTAATATTCAAGCAAGTAATACAATCAAGGCAGTTTTTAATACGCTGTAAATTTTCGTTAAAGAACGATAGTTGTTTTTTTCATTTGCAAAATATGATTGATCTATTAAATAAAATAATCATACATAGATCTATAGATCATTCTTAGAACAACCGGTGGGTCAGCGCTAATTTTGCACACAAATTTACGACAAAAAATCTGGGATTTCATTTTCCGTGTTCGACAGAGTGCAGATAGCTCATTGTGTAAGTTTGCACTGAAAACAAACAAACAATAAAACAAGTGGACAGATTTTAAAGTAAATTTGAAATAATCATTGAATGGAACGTTTCACTTATCTAGGAGGTTTAGACCATTTTTCCTGGAAAACAAATCTTCATAAACAGTATGGAAATTGCACATGATTTCTAGTCCAGTTAACTTCTCATTATAACATTAATATCACATTCACTTAAACAACGATAACATTCTAGAGATTTAGAACTCTAATCTTCAAGAGCAGTAATTTGTTTAATGTGATTAACCAATATTTTTCGATTTTATTAGTCCAATAATCAGTTATCTTGTATACACGAGGAATGTGACAATACATTATGGCTGCTGCAAGATCCATGAACAATGAGTGTGATTAGAAAAATATTAAATACAAAATATACTTTTGATTAATACATGAAGTCTACAACTGAAATGTATTTTTCAACTGAACGTATTTTGTAAAACAACTATATAAGGGCTCAGTACTGGTTTAACCACTGAATGATGGAGTATCTTCTGACAACTATATAAGGACTCAATACTGGTTTAACCAATCAATGATGGAGTACCTTTTGAAAGGTAAATGGGCCTGGGTTTTTGATCATACCATTCATTGAAAAATAATTCAATGTTTTGCTTTCGTTCTAAATATATTAATATATTTCGTAAATATTATTTATTCCTAAAATAAATTGGGTTTGGTATTCTAACAGATTGCTTGTTTGTTTTCTTTAGTCGTAGAGTTGCAAAATGGAATATCTTCACTATTGCTATAAATCCCCAAATTGAATTTAAAATAGTTTTATTTCTACACTAAATCACTTGTTCGCTATTGCTTAAGTATTCAGAGGTTATATAATACCTCAAATATTAGACGACATTTAATTTTGATTATGCGAAATATGCACACGGCACATACACACAAAATCAATTAAAGAAATCGTGGAGCTTATAACATTTTTGCTATGACAAAGCAAAACCAGTGACTTGTAATAATGCAATCCACCTTTCTCAGTTCATATTTTGCAAGTTAAGTACGTGATGATTCATACTGAAATTTGACCTCAGATTAAACTGATTGCGCAGAGAAAGCTCTTAAACAAAAATTTGATATCTTCACACTTCATATATGTATATGAATTATGACTGCCGTAGTCAACAATGTCAAGTGTGCATAGATAATGAATGCTTAAATATTAGAGCATTGAAAGGTTTGGAGCTGGTTCCAGAACAGTTTCCATGTTTGGATAACTTCAGGAAGTGTGCTGTATCTCCAAAAAAAATCCATTATTACACCATTAGATTGAAGTTCAGTTTGAATGTAAAACATTCCATTCAGTCAATATTTTCTTCTTAAAGAAATACGTCAACTATTTAACTACGGTACAATAACGGAAGTCAGACTCGATTGTTCGAGCAATTGGCAATACAAAGTATCATAGTATCTGATAATGTATGGCATTAATGCTACTATTCTGCAAAATTTAAAAGAAAATCGGCTCATTCGCCAGTGCTTATTTCAGACAACCCCATACTTTCACTTCAGCCACTTTCTTCAGAACTAATTTCATATTTTATATAAATACGTATATATAAAACTCATCTATAAAATAATATCTCTTATATAGATAAGTATATACCTGTTATCTGAATATAGGGTGAAACAAGACTCATCTATAAAACAATATCTCTTATATAAATAAGTATATACCTGTTATCTGAATATAGGGTGAAACAAGACTCATCTATAAAATAATATCTTTTATATAAATAAGTATATACCTGTTATCTGAATATAGGGTGAAACAAGACTCATCTATAAAATAATATATCTTCTGATGACCGTTTGTGTGATTTGCTATAAGCAGAATACAACTAACTTGGCGTCAGGTATACGAACTGATCTTTTGTATCGCATTTATATCTGTCAGTTTAGCAATACAATGACTGGGGGCATCTAATTCAGTTCTGGAGGAGATACCCTACCATAGCGGTGAGCCACATTAGTAAATTAGCCTGACTGTGGCATTGGTTTGGAAATTGCTTCACATTATACTGGCGAAAACTTGTGATCATTATGTGACCATCGTATCTTAATATTTATGTTTTTCCAGAATGGTTAAAATGTCTTAAAGAAATGTTTTTATACTAGTTATTAATAATAATCATACAAGCCGAAGTAAGCGTTACATTCTAATGATCAGCATCATACTAAAAAAAAACTAAAAGGAAAATAAGAATATTGTATCTGGAGATTTGAGCGTTACGTTCGTAGCCATGAAATACACATCATCATCATCATATATTATTTATGTGCTACTAAAAAAATCCTAAGCGGGATGGTTTCCTGATTGATTGACTATGAAAGATTTTGCTGATACACCTAAACAATGCTCATAGTCAAATAAGTTCAGTTCAAAACGTAATATCATGCTGACTTACAGCGATCATTTCCGTCGAATTAAGTACGTGTAATTCACCTATAAAATGCTATAGCTTTTTATTCGGTAATATTTTAAGGTACTCCGATTACCATTAGTCATTCGTTGTTATGACATTATCAATGGAATAAATAGTGTAGTCGTTCTTTGCACTTGGATCTAAAACATATTTCCTTACTTAACATACATGACTGTGTTATATATCAGGTAAGTGTACATTACTATCACGTAATCAATATACTTAACATACATGACTGTGTTATATATCAGGTAAGTGTACATTACTATCACGTAATCAATATACTTAACATACATGACTGTGTTATATATCAGGTAAGTGTACATTACTATCACGTAATCAATATACTTAATATACATGACTGTGTTATATATCAGGTAAGTGTACATTACTATCACGTAATCAATATACTTAATATACATGACTGTGTTATATATCAGGTAAGTGTACATTACTATCACGTAATCAATATACTTAATATACATGACTGTGTTATATATCAGGTAAGTGTACATTACTAACACGTAATCAATATTATGTCCCGTTTTTCTGTTGTTGTTTTTTTCACATAGTTTGCTATAACAATACTTAAACTACTTTCGAATGATACTGGCTTTATTACAATTAGTTTCACCTTAAAGTGAATATTTAGTTATTTCCAACATAGTTGTCATTTTTAATCTGCCTTTAAATTACAACAAATATAATCCATTCTCAGTAACAGTTGTACAATATTTCAACCTGTTACGTGATCAAATAGACTTGTGAAAAGAAATATTTGACTATGAAATCTTATACATAGACGTAATATTTGCAGGAAATTTGGTTTTAAACATTACAGTAGCATTTTAAAGATAACAATAATCAATCTAAATTATAAATGACAATTTTCCCTAGTATTTCGAGAAAAAATTTAAATCTGTGTCATCATATTCCAGTTGTTTGTCTGTTCATTACTTGATGGTAGATTGTATACGCCGTATATTACTGCTCATGAAACCTTTTAGTACTCACTGGTATATTTATTATTAATTATGCTAGCATAATTATCGATCATGTGTACTTACATCGACGTAGATACCAGCAAATGGATAGACACTGACTGGAGTATCATCCAAGTACGAGATGTATCGGAAAAACTCCAAATCATTAAGATAAAACTTGGTAGAGTATATTTCATCACTTTCCAGGTCAAAGCTACAGTTGATCCAGGCAGTGTCTCCTCTGTTCACAGCGGATGGTACTTGCACCTTGACATTCCTTAAAGCCAATGTCTCTGGAATGAAACATAACATAAGAATAATGTCAGTAAAGACGGCATGTAAGTTTAGTTTACAACTAGAACCAATAGTTGTCCAATTCGTCAAAAATGACTAAATAAAATTTTGTACAAAAAAATATCCTTGGGGTCCTTTCCTTGAGTAAGTTTTGTTCACCAAAATCCCTCCTTCTTCATAAAGAAAAACAATCACTCATTGTATTATAATAACTAAAGTTTAGAATATAAAAACGCGTTTTTTTTTCTTACCTTGAAATTTGTTTCTCATAAAAAGGGTTGTCCTCTAATTACTTTTATAGGCATGGAGTTAATGGTTCATTACTTTTATAGGCATGGAGTTAATGGTTCATTACTTTTTATAGGTATGGAGTTAATGGTTCATTATTTTTATAGGTATGGAGTTAATGGTTCATTATTTGTATAGGTACGACGTTAATGGTTCATTATTTGTATAGGCATGCAGTTAATGGTTCATTACTTTTTATATGTATGGAGTTAATGGTTCTTTATTTTTATAGGTACGACGTTAATGGTTCTTTATTTTTATAGGTACGACGTTATTGGTTCATTGTTTGTTTGGCAAACTAAAAATTCTAATAACGTCATTCGTTATAACTTAAGATTTTCAATTTTTAGCAAATTGTTAATGCGTTACCAAAAGACAGACATATATTAGATTTAATAGAATTTATGATATATTTACATTACTTTTTCACACCAAGGCGATGTATGTACTCCAAGTTTGCAAGGTAATAAATAAACAATTCTAGGCAGTAGAGTACAAGGCGTCACTAAAATAATCTTATCACCCAAACCTTGACCCAAAACATCTCAATATAAATTGATAAAGTATACACGTTTTATCTATTTCATGAAGCTGTCTTACTCAAGTGACTCTGTGGTAAATGGAAGATTTCACAAATTTATCGATATTTCACACGTAGCAGAACGTTTTTCTCTAACTACGTCATATAACCTAAAATTTATGGTTTAAATGCCAAAAAAAAAAGATGAAGCTCCCAAAACCAACAGGCCTAAGGTTTATGATAAAAAATTATGTCCCAAAGTTTAAAATCTAAAAATTAATTTCAAGTACCATCATTAGCTAAGATTAATGGCAATACGTTTAGGAGCAAGAAAGGAAAACAGATGCTTTATCCAAAAGTGGAATAACAAAACTGAAAAACCTAATAAAAACATACGAATTGTGGTCAATAACCTTAAACTTAGATGTTTTTAAAACTCGCCAACAACATCAAAACATCTACGTGAAACTAAGTATATGCATAAATTAAAACGAAAATGATCTAAAACAATGTTCGAAGCATTATGTACATATTTAAGACAACAATATCAGGTCATAGTTTTGTTGCTAAGCTACACAGACGAACAGATCGTTACCAAAAGACAACAGGCTTATATATACATATTATATTCTACTACAATAGGCTGAAATAGCAGCAGAAAGAAACTAAATACATTAAACAGTTAATTCCGTTAAAGGGCCATGAAATTGAAATATACAGCCATTAAATTCCTGACAGTCGAATGTGATTACAGTACGGAGGAATTGTGTATTCATGTTATCACCTTTAGAATTTTATATACAACAGTTAACCGTTTCTTTACGCTACGGTAATTGAATTCATTGACCTTTTATTCTAGATCCTTCAAGCCTTATATCTAAATTATCATAAGATATATTTTACTCCAAAACAATCTGAAATCTTTTTAAAACTGGTATGCTTACGCCATTTAACATGACATACTGGCCTGATCATGTTTGTTGCAGATTATAACTTCCATATAAAAGACTGAAACATTGAGGAGGATTAAGCGTACGTAATCGTTTTGAGGTTGTGGAATTTTTAGAAATATTTTATTAAGAGATATTGTCGCTACTATGTTAAATGGCGAATAATTACTATGGACATGTACTGAAATTGTAATAAATTATTTATTTAATTTTTAATCATTTCTATTTCAACCAAAGAGTAACCATGTGATAAATTTCCTTCCATTTTAAGGTTGTAAGTAGTTTTCCAGCGTTTCAGACTAAATTTACCTTGAAATAAATTCACTTCAAACCACATCCTGTAAAAGCAAATGATCACAGTGAGAGATAAGTGGCATCGAAACAGCATAAAGCTATATAGGTTTAGGAAAAAACAGCATAAAGCTATATAGGTTTAGGAAAAAACAGCATAAAGCTATATAGGTTTAGGAAAAAACAGCATAAAGCTATATAGGTTTAGGAAAATAATTTCCGATTCAAAGTTGCTATGCGAGTTTTCCAAGAGAATAAAAAAACATTGTTTTAAACATTATTAATTGTGCATAATCTAATCAGACTAAAGAAAATTAATAACATAGTTTACTTGATATTATCTATGCAGCTTTTGGACGTGTACTGCTAAGCCACTGTTATTCACGCGAACAACTGGGTTATGCACAATTTCATGTTAAGTATATAACGTAGAGAGCACACCTTTATTGTCACCAGCTCTTATCGACTATTTTCTCCAATATTCCCCTAACTGAATCCAGCTCATTACGTCTGTTCAACTCTACTATAGTTTCATACCTAATGGATATCAATTACACAGTTATAATAGTCTCATACGTGTAATTATATCATGCAACATCTATATTATAAGCATTGTTGAAGTTCGGAAGTATTAGAAACCAGCGCTTTGAATGTTAGTAATGAAGCCTACTTATGATAACCTAGAAGAAAAAAAAACTTCATTTATGTGAACTATCATTCTCTTACTCATTTCAGAAAAGAAATCTGAGGCTTTCGTTCTATCAAATACTAATGGTTCCTTTACGTTTTGATTCTGTAATTTGTATCATGAAACGTGGTACGTACAGAAGAGATAATGAACCCATGTTATAGACAGCTGAGCAATACTGTTTCCAACCACATTAACTTTCATTAGTCAATGGGAATGTAACCTTTTGATTGTCTTCAGGTGGCGATTATCGTTTGGAATAGACAGATGTATTAACAAACAATAAATTTCAAGGAGTAAGCCTTCTCATATAAAGTAATATTCCTTTGGTTTATATTCATTACTATTGATCTAGCTGGGCTCGTGGAACGAGAGAATTTTCAAACCTGTAGCTCTCGGATGACCGTGGTATTTATTACTTGATCTGAGGAAGACTGGTGTGTGTGTTACTTGCCCATTTCATGACCATGGTATTTATTACTTAATCTGAGGAAGACTGGTGTGTGTTACTTGCCCATTTCATGACCATGGTATTTATTACTTAATCTGAGGAAGACTGGTGTGTGTTACTTGCCCATTTCATGACCATGGTATTTATTACTTAATCTGAGGAAGACTGGTGTGTGTTACTTGCTCATTTGTTTTTATTCCTTACCATTTACTCTAAAACCAAAATTACAATAAAAAATTGTTGAATAAACACCTACCTTTAAAAGTTTACAACACACCCTTTTCACCCAAAATACTTTTAGTTGTCTCCTGGACATGCGCAGCAACGACATTTATAGGCAACTGTTCATTTGTCTTCATACCAATTTGCGAGTTTAGTGGATTACTCTTTGGAAGTGCGTGACATTTTGAAACTAAGTGGATAATTTGTAAATACTGTATAGTAAGCTAAACATTGCAGTGTTAGTATTGGTAGGAAAGCTACATTGTTTCTTTAATTACGTCATTTTAAGTTTAATACGGCAAAATAACACAATATATATCGGATCGTAATCAAACCTATATACCTTAGTATTTGTATAATTAACTTCTAAAGGATTTATAAGACATTGTAGTACATATCACATTATATGTAATTCATATACTTGTACGTCAGTATTTCGTGAAGTGCCTTTATGAACTAATTTTATGTTACTACTTAAGTATGGAAGTTTACTCTAGATTTTACTAACATGTAAAAATAATAGAATATTATTAATACAACATATCCTACACAGTTTAAAGTTTACCTCCTAATTTTTGTGTCTATACGCATGCTTCAAATTTGCTTTAAACAAAATTCATTGTTAAATTCTTTGCATTTTATAAATGAAGTGTACAACATGTTATTTATTGTTTTGGAAGGTAGCTAAAATGAGGTTGACTTGTCGGTTTGAAACAATCGAAAAAACACGTTTTCTAATCAAAAGTTGTGTTTTTTGGTGAAAAAATAAAAGTGCATTATTTTACATTTCTTAAAAGAACTTGATCATTGTAATGAATGCATGAAAATGAACAATACTACAAATTGGTTTCTAGTAAATATTATAAACAATATATATATATAGTTAATTAATTAAAATATAGACGAAGAATTGGTTAAGTTTTCCTAGCTCTTATAACCTTTTGAATATTTTGTTTTTCCTGACGCCTGATAGTCTAACCAAAACTTTAAAATGAAGTAGTTAAGTTTTGAGAAAGAAAAATATGCAAAAGAAGTTGTGAATTATCAGAAAAATTGCTTAATCTTGCATAGATAATATGATGAAGCATAGATAAGAAACGAGTTGGAAACAGGAGAGTTACCTTTCTGAAAACAAACAAAAAATACTGATAAGTTAAAAGCAACTGCATCAGCCATGATGGTTTTAAATCGACCAAACGTTAAAACAAGTGGATTAGAAATGGTGTAACTGGCCGAGAAGCTGAACAAACAAAGAAAAAATCTATTAATGCTTATTCATTTAAAAAGTCTTTTCGAATTCTTTTGTAACGACGATAGAATGAAAGATATTACAAAAGTATTCTTATCAGAAAAAGGAACTTGATGAAAATTAAAACCAGCAAACTAAAGCAGAAAACTACGGATGAAGTAACTTATCAAGACAAAAAAATCCTGTTTATATCAGTTTTTTAACTTTTAATGGTATTAAAAGTTTGGTGATTGGAAGTACTTTATATAAATACAATTTTTTGTTTGTGTTATTCTAAAATATTCAGAAACAGATTCTCTCAAAAATTAAAATATATACTTCTTGTTTAGCCTTTAAAGCT